TTACATTTTTGGAATCTGATTACGTAATCCAGATTACATGTAATCGGTTGCCGACCCATAATGCACTGCAGGAGTGAGAATTTCCGAGTGAATCCTGACCTTGGTGAGAAACTCCTCCAGGTTTCCCACAAACATGTGCGTCTGCTGCTGTATGAACTGCTCACAGCTGGACTTCAGGTGCCGGTCCACGTCTTTCTTCGAGTCGATGTAGTGCTCTTTTATCTCCGGCGTACCCTGGTGTGAAAGCATCAGCGTATGATGAACGATTCAAACGCAAGCCGTTAATCATTCACTATGGATCTGGAGTCAGGTGCGAGGGTCTGAGACTCTGAAGAGCAGAAAAGACCCACCAAATGGAATGAATGAATAAATAAAGCTGATGTTACCTGCAGTAGAAACTCAAGGATAGCGTTATGGCTGTTCAGACGGAAGAAGTTGGGCACAGCCTTGGGGTTGAGGATTTTGAAAGCAGCGTCTGAGGACGGAGAAAAACAAATGTCGTTCTGCCATCTGGAGGAGCTTTACTGCGATTACACGCACATTTCATCAGTTCACAGTCGATACATACGCTGCTCATTCCCTGAATTCCAGTATCGGCTCATTGTGCAATTTCTGTGAATTTCATTCAAGTATTTAAAAAAGGACACCCTGGACTTTTCTAATATAACTTCCTCAGCTTGGTTTTTAAAGACCTGACATTATATTTCAGCAATTTGTGACAAAAAGACAATTTTCATTTGATATTCGGAGCCGAATTACAGGGGGGTAAAAATGACTATAGAATAGTACAATACACAAAAGTCCTTTTTTTCCCCAAATTTACATGCCTGTATTAAAGATATCTCGATATCCTTTTAGATTCTAACTTTTCTTTTGGTATCTTCATTTTTAAGCCCCAATATGGTTCATTTCCAGAGATACGTGGACCTTAATGTGGCCCTGACTATTTTGTAGAAGAGGGTCAAAATGACCTGAGGTTTGGAGCCAATTTGCAGGCTTTGTAAACGGCGTTAGAAAGATGACAGAATCATTACTTTAATTTTACACAGATTGGTAATTCTATTAGTAAAATCTGTTGACTTTAGAAATTGCATTATAATCTAATGGTGAACAATTAAAATGTTGTGTGTATTTTTCTCCAACGTTTGCATGCCTGTAACTCAAGAAGCATTAAAGATATCTTAATATCCTTTTATATTTCGGTTCTTAAGAAAACTTTTCTGTTGGTATCTTAATTCTTAAGTCCCAATATGGTTCAGTTACAGAGATTTGGGGATTTCAATGTGTGCTGATACTTTTGTCTGTTTATTACTATGCAATCACAATTACCATTATTTATGGTCCCTGGCTAGAAATATTGATTTTGATCTTTGACTTTAGCAAGTTTTGTTGCATTATATGCCAATAGTGACCATTCAAAAAAATGGCAAAAAGCACT